TCCTCCCCTCATGGTATATACACGATTTCTAAAAAAGAAAAGAGAGTGACACTTTCCTCACCCAGCACCAACCGCCGCAAGCGCCTCCACCGCATTGCCCGCCCTTTGCTCGCTTTCTTCGCCGCTGGGGCCGCTCGCCGTGGGCAGCAAACCTGACGAATCGACCGGCGCTGCAGCCCGACAACTGCTCGCCCCGTAGAGAGGGAGACCGCAGCCGCCTCAACCATGGGGTTCGGACGCCTGGTCGGCGGCTAGGAAGACCTCCGCCTTCGACGATGCACCATGGCCTAGCATCCACCTCCCGCTCACGGTCATCACCGGGAGCACCCTAGGCGAGGGGACCATCGCTTGCCTAGCCCAGGCCAAACGTAGGCGCAGGTGGCCGCTGCCAGGCCAAAACCGTCCGTTCCCTGCTCTGCTCTGCACGCACGGATGAAGGGTGAAAACACATGTTGCATGCTCACAATTCAAATGTTTTAGATGTTTTAGAGGTATGTTGCAAGCGTTCATGCGGATGTTGCAAAAGTATATCGGGGTGCTGCATATGTTGCAATGGTTGTACACGTATGTTGCAAGAGTATTTCTCCAACGTTTCTTCTGTTTTTTCAGACGTATGTTGCAAGCGTGTTTGTTTGGATGTTGCATATATTTTCATACATTTGTTAAAAGTGTTTTATCCGGATGTTGCGGATGTTTACAATGGTTTTCAAGTGTTTTATACGTATGTTTCAAGGGTTTCATCTACCTTTTTTTTGTACGTTGCAAGTGTTGCGTCTGAAAGTTTCAAAAGTAGATCGGATATCCGCTCATGGGATGAGCGTGGGAAGCGGGAGGGGGGGCGAGCGGTCCCCGCGTGGGCGTGCAGCGTGGGCCCTAGCATGGCCGCGTGAGGCGCGGGCGCGGGCGAGGAACGTCCGGCCGGCACCGGCCCATGCGTGGACGTGCGTCCAAAACGTCCAGGCGCTAGCAGTGCTGAAAAAAATTGGTGGGATGATCATGAAGCAACCATAGGCACCTGCTCAACCATAAGCACCTGCTGCGGATTTATGATATGTGGTCATGCACAAGCATCTAACATAATCTAACATATAAGAATGTTATATAAATTCATGAGTATTGGGGAAAAATAGCTCTCACGGGTTAGGTGCATGAGCATGGATCTATGGATACGCCACTGGGATTATCCCCACTGATTGTTTTTTTAACTCACGTTCTCTGTCTCAATAATTTTTTAGCCCATATGCATTTAGTTTGGATGATGGAGTAGGATGGGACGGTCGATCCTATTTTTGAGTTTTATTTTCGGGAACTCATGAGGACAGGATCCATGAAAGCGAGGTTGCCCCATCCCTCTGAATCAAGGGGACCGGTGAGTCCCCCTTCTTGTTCGTGTGTGACAGCTAAGCGTGAGTGAGGCAGCAGAGTGGCGCATGGAAGGTGAGCTAGCTAGCAGCAGCGCATGCGAAGCGAGCTACAATAGCGATGTTGGCGGATGCGTCTATGAAGAGCAGAGTTGGTGGCTACATGGCGCACATAGGGCAAGCTGCAACGGTGGTGCTTCCAGGCTCAACTGTGGAGGGGCAAGCTGAAAGCTCTAGTTTGGTTTTGTTAAATTGATGAAACCCTAAGTGCTAACCTAGTTTATCAAAGTGATCATGAGATAGGTCGCACATTTCAAGTGGTGAAGCAAATAAAGATCATGACATAATGATGGTGATGCCATGGTGATAATTAAGTGCTTGGACTTGAAAAGAAGAAAGAGAAAAACAAAAGGCTCAAGGCAAAGGTATAAGTGGTAAGAGCCATTTTATTTCGGTGATCAAGACACTTAGCGAGTGTGATCACATTTAGGTTCGATAGTCGTACTATTAAGAGGGGTGAAACTCGTATCGAAATATAGTTATCAAAGTGCCACTAGATGCTCTAACTCATTGCATATGCATTTAGGATCTAGTGGAGTGCTAACACTCTTGAAAATATTTGTGAAAATATGCTAACACATGTGCACAATATGATACACTTAGTGGTTGGCATATTTGAGCAAGGGTAAGAAACTTCACCGGCGGAGTGTCCGCCGTAGAGTGCGGATAGTCCGACGGTGCCACCGGCGCCCTATACTGAAAAGACAGGATTTCATAGAGTGCACCAGACGCTGGCCTCAACTGGATCGGTGCATCCAATCAGTGGAAGCAGTGAAGACGCTGGCGTCGGTCTTTGACCTGACACTGGGTCACCTCGTGACCGGACGCTGACGGGGTGCATCCGTTCCTACTGACGTGGCAACGCACAGAGAAGAGGGTGACTGATCGGACGCTAGGTGAGTCCAGTCAGGGGTGACCGGACGCGTCCGGTCGCAAATTTCCACCTCTGGAAGCTTACTGGAAGTGACTGGACGCTGGGGTCCTGCGTCCATTCGGGCGTGACCGGCCGCGTTCGGTCGCGAGTGGAACCTTACTGGAAATGACCGGACACTGGGGTCCTGCGTCTGGTCACTTTGAGCAACGCGTCCGGTCACTACTTAAATGTACCGATGACCGTTGAGATCGGGCGATCAACGTTTGAAGTCGATGTCATGTGGCAAGCATCGGGCGACCGGATGCTGGGGTCCTGTGTCCGGTCGATCTGACCGGAGCATTCGGTCACCCCGAGCAGTGCCCAGTGAAGGGGTACAACGGCTCTATTTCGTGGTGGTTTCTATTTAAGCCCTATTACCGGCTCTAGCTCACTCTCTTGGCAATTTTGCATTGATATAGCAACCTAGTGAGCTTAGCCAAAGCTCTCCCACTCATCTCCATCATAGATTCAATATCTTTGTGAGATTGGGAGTGAATCCAAGTGCATTGCTTGAGTGTTTGCATCTAGAGGCACTTGGTGTTTGTGTTTTGCTGCGGGATTCGCTTGTTACTCTTGGTGGTTGCCGCCACCTAGACGGCTTGGAGCAACGAGGATTGTCGAGCGGAGGTTGGTGATTGTCTCCGACTCCGATCGTGGTGATTGTGAGGGGTTCTTGACCTTTCCCCGGCGGAGAGCCAAAAGATACTTTAGTAAATTGCTTGTGGCTTGTGTAATCCTCATCTTGTGTTGGTTGTGCGGCATCCTATTGAGAGTTTGGCGTGTGATGCCAATTAGCGCGTGAACCTCCAAGTGAGTGAATCACCACAACGAGGACTAGCTTGCCGGCAAGCAAGTGAACCTCGGTAAAAAAATCATTGTGTCATCATTTGATTCCGAGGTGATTGGTCTTCATTGGTATTCATCCTTGTGATTGATTGGTTCACTCCTCGACACGGCGGTATATATATCTTGCTCTCTCTCTCTCTTTACAATACCGCAAACTAGTTGTCAAGCTCTTTAGTGTAGCTAGTTGTGAGAGCTTGTTAGTTTGGTTAGTGTAGCTCTTTAGTTAGCATTTGAGAGCACACTAACTTAGTTTAGTGACGTAGCTATTGTGTGGATAGAAACCATATAAACTAGAATTGTGGTAGGTGACTTGCAATTTTATTAAGCTAGCACAATCCTTATTTCGCCTCATAATTGTCTAATTGGTTTGCTAAGTGTTGTTGTATAAATTTTTAATAGACTATTCATCCCCCTCTAGCCATTAGGACCTTTCACAAGCGTGGTGAGTGGGCTAAGGATGGAGCAACACGTGTGGGGGTAGCTACGGGTGCTGGCGAGCTTGGCCATGGAGGGGATAGCTGGCGGCAGAGTGGCACTCACGGTGGTGAGCTACGGTTAGGGGAAAAATGGAAAAGAGGATATCAAATGACTTATACCATCTTTTGATGTTCTCAAATCAAACACAAAATAAGGATGGTCCTAACCTTTAAAACCAAACACACAACATGAATGGTTCCGTCCCAAAAAGCACCATGTGTTAAGCTATGTTAATGAAAGTGCTGACTATTATATTATTCAATAATTCCCAAAGCCAACCCCCTCAATGATGGTGATTGTACTAGTTTAAACATGAAATTTCAAATTTGAGGAAAACTAACCCCGAAGATTATATATTTGTCTCCTTGCAGGAATATCTTGTATTTATCTCTTATGCTGAAATTAGTATTTTTTTATTCTTTTAACAAATGTATAGTTGAAACTATTTTATCCTTCATAAATAAATCTAATTGTTTCACTAGATAATTTTTTTTCCCAATTCCAACGGTACTCACAGTTTGCAAGAATCGTGGCAAGCACGGCAGTACACAGATAGACTAGTAATAAGTTGACTTGACCTGCTACCCTGTCAGCTATCAAAATAACCTATGGATGAATCATGTCCACACGATATATCTGGAAGCGATCATCACCAAAAAAACCAAATTTGATTTCAACACGAAAATCCGTCACCGTAGACCATTCCGCGAGCTAATTTTTGTCAGCATCGGAACCGCACCAGACAGGTCGAACATCAGCTTGGAATATCTCTGTCCGTTTCCTGCTGAAAAGTACTATGGGATTCTAGGCTGGACACGCCGTAACAATCTTGTCCACCTCAAACAACGACGGCGCAGCTGCGCGACGTGATGGAAGCTGAATAGTGGCGGTAACTGACGAGTTTGACGGACTCAAGGTCCTCGCTGAGATGGCGGTCAAGCTAAGATGTGGCGCCGTGTGTGGATGTAATGGTGCTGTAAACTGTTTTTAAACCCCCTGGGGTCTCATCTGCCAGCAGAGCATCCAACTTAAAGCTTCAAACTCCAACTAGCAAGCAAAGCGAAGCAGATCAAAAGGACTACCGGCGGAGCAGAGGTACCCTACTTTCTCTTACTGCTGTCAGTACTTAATTGTCCGTTTTAGCTGTCAGTACTTAATTGTTCGTTTTAGCTTGTTCGCTGCAGTTGTGTTTGGTTTCTCGTTATAGTGGGCATCTGCCTTCCCTTTCTTAAAAATGGGGATCGTTCGTAGCTCTGATTACAGCATGAACACAGCGTGGTTTCTTTAGTAATAGCGCCAAGTTTATGCTTTATTAATCATTGCAGGTGTCAATTAAGTGCATCATGCGTCATTCCAAACCACCGGCGAAACTCGCCATGGTTGTGGTGTTGCCTCTGTTACTGCTGTGTTATGGAGTCGGCAACGTCCATTGCTCGACGGTTCATGAAAACAGCGAAGATTTTCAGTCATTGCTCGAGTTCAAGAAAGGCATCCTCGACCATAATGGAGCCTTGAACAATTGGAACACGAATACCCACTTCTGTCGGTGGTATGGTGTGAACTGCACCTCGACGCGGCGGCCATTACGTGTCACGCAACTCAACCTCTCCGGCAAAAACTTAGGTGGCAATATCTCTTCCTCTCTTGGAAATTTGGCCTTCCTTGAAAAGCTTGATCTATCGAATAACAGCTTCTATGGCCCCATTCCTGACGCACTCACAAACTGTTCCAACCTAGCCTATCTACTTCTCTCTGGAAACCACCTCACTGGTGTTATTCCTCCTACAATAGGTTTTCTTACCAGTCTAAAACGTGTCTTCCTTGATAATAATTATCTCACTGGAGGAATCCCAGCAGCCCTGAGAAACATCACCAATCTACAAATACTCAGTTTTACACAAAATCAACTCACTGGAAGCATTCCTCATGAGGTTATGCAAATGCCAAATATATTGGAGTTGCACCTAAACCAAAACAACCTATCAGGTGGAATTCCTGAGGTTTGGCAGATGCCAAACATAGAGTTGTTAGACCTAAGCCAAAATTACCTAACAGGTAGATTGCCACAAGATCTATCTAATGTATCTTCTCTTGGGGGATTATCCTTGACATCCAATATGCTAGGCAACACATTACCATCTAACATTGGTTATGCTCTACCTAATCTCACGGTTCTACTGTTGGCAAGCAACAATTTTGAGGGTCCCATTCCAGCTTCCCTAGGAAAACCTGCAGGTCTAGAAACAATAGATATATCAGACAATCGTCTCACTGGCCAAATCCCAAACTCTTTAGGAAACCTCACGGTGCTTTCTTATCTTAACCTTGAAAAAAACATGCTTCAAGCAACAGATAATGAAGGCTGGGAATTCCTCCATACCCTGGGAAATTGTCGTTCTCTATCAGCTTTTTCATTGTCTCGTAATAACCTACAGGGAACCATACCAAATTCTATTGGAAACCTATCCATCAGTCTTACACGGTTGCTAATGTCTGAAAACAACCTATCAGGAATAGTTCCCCCGAGTATTGGAAAACTTAGTTCCTTATTTCAACTATCTCTAGATCATAACAATCTTACCGGTACAATTAAAGAATGGGTCGGAAATATGACAAAACTAGAACTTCTGGATCTCCAATTGAACAGCTTCATCGGGACAATTCCACCTTCCATTGGCCGTCTTACAAGGTTGACAAAATTGTACCTTAGCTATAACAATTTCCAAGGGGGCATACCTGTTGAGCTTGATAATTTGGGACAACTCACCACTCTAAGTATTTCATCAAACAAATTTGGTGGGGGAATTCCTTAAACTTTGGGAAAATTTGAACATATACAGACCATTCAATTGGACCAAAATATTCTTACAGGAAACATCCCAAGCTCCTTCAGCAATCTATATACCTTGAGCATGCTCAATATTTCGCATAACAATCTGTCAGGCCCCTTGCCAGCTTTTCTAAATGATTTGAAGACTATAACAAAACTAGATATACCTTACAATAATTTCCAAGGAGAAGTGCCAACAAATGGAGTATTTGCTAATGCTACCATTATTTCACTTGATGATAATCCGGGACTGTGTGGAGGAGCCACGGATTTGCATTTTCGGTCATGCCATGTAATGAATAAAAAGGGTAGAGCGGTAAACTATTTAATCAAAATTTTGATCCCAATATTTGGGTTCATGTCACTCGTATTACTCGTCTACTTTGTACTCCTTGAGAGGAAGAGGTCAAGAGCATATATGTCGTCAGAGCAATCTTTTGGTGAGCATTTTGAGAAAGTTACCTTTAGTGACCTGACTCAAGCAACACGGGACTTCTCAGAATCTAACCTGATTGGGAGAGGAAGCTATGGTTTAGTGTACAGAGGAAAGTTGAAGGAAAGCAAAATGGAAGTGGCAGTGAAGGTTTTTGATCTTGAGATGCGAGGTGCAGAAAGAAGCTTCGTGGCAGAGTGTGAAGCACTTAGAAGTATTCAGCATCGTAACCTTCTTCCAATCATAACTGCTTGCTCAACTGTAGATAATATAGGAAATGTTTTCAAAGCTTTAATTTATGAGCTCATGCCTAATGGAAGCCTGGACGCATGGTTACATCACAAAGGGGACGAGGAGGCTCCAAAACGTCTAAGCTTGACCCAAAGAATAAGCATAGCCGTTAACATAGCTGATGCATTGGATTATTTGCACCACGATTGTGGACGTCCCACGGTTCACTGTGACTTGAAGCCTAGCAATATTCTTCTAGACGATGATATGAATGCTCTTCTGGGAGATTTTGGAATTGCACGTTTCTTTGCGGATCCTCAGTCAACATGGGCAGGTTCAATTAGTTCGATTGGTATGAAGGGCACAATTGGATACATCCCTCCAGGTAGTTATTTCGGTATTTTTTTTATAGGGTACCTCAAATTTTCCTAGATGATAAATGTTTATAGCATAACTTCTTTGTGCACATTTTCTTGTTTAATTTAGAATATGGAAGTGGTGGGCATGTGTCAACATCCGGAGATGTTTATAGTTTTGGGATAGTATTGCTGGAGATTTTGATAGGCAAAAGGCCGACAGATGCTATGTTCATGGACGGACTGGACATTATCAGCTTTGTGGAGAACAGCTTTCAGAGTCAAATATTTGACGTCATTGATGTTCATCTCGTGGAAGAATGCAAGAACTTAACTCAAGACAAGAATGTACCAGAAAAGGAGATCAACAAATGCTTGCTGGATCTGGTGCAAGTAGCACTTTCTTGCACGCGTTCACTACCATCTGAACGTTCGAATATGAAGCAAATAGTCAGCGAAATGCATGCAATCAAGGTTTCACAATTGGGATGGATGACATGTAAGAAGATGGGGTATGTGTAATTTGTTCAGTATACGGTGAACTGCACAATGTGCTTCGGACAAGCATGCACTGTTATGACTAGTGTACCAGTATGGTTATCTTCTACTGATCGAAAAATAAAAGAAGCTGTCTATTGATCGCTCAGGTGCTCCCCCCACCTGACGACTTTTTTTTTTAAACCAAAAGATCAAAATAAATCCACTTAGTTGATTGGTTTTTATGGTGAATCCTGCTCACCAAGTTTTAAGTCCTCGGATCAATGTTGATGCTCGCAATTCTTTGAATTTTTTCCAGCATCGATCTAGAGATGTATTGGCTTAGCCTCAAATCTTTCGAAGATGTTCATAGGATTAATGTGTGTGCTTATGTTTATAGATGTGAGTTTGGTGTATTCCCTTTGTCCCTTATTAAGAGGTGGCTATGGTATTCATGCTAACTAGGTATATAAAAATTATTAGCAACATATTTGTATCTCTAAATAAGTTTATTATAAAAATAGATTCAACCATCTATCAAATGATGCTAATTATGTACCATAAGTATTAATATTTTCTTTATATATTCAGCCAAAGTTAAATATATTTGACTTCTCGAAAAATAAGAACGATAGCTAAAAAGGACGGATGGAGTATGTATGAGTGTCTACATCAATATTGTGACTTGCCAGCATCAGCAGCAGAAGACGAAGAAGATCCAACGGCCAGAGTGCATCTTTTACCTCCAGACAGTTTCTAACCTTCTTACTCTCCCTGACAGCTGTTGGAAATCACATACATGTAACAACGTCATTAATTGTATTAAGTAAGAGAATGTTTTACGCAACGCGCCATGAAGGCGCGCTAGGGAGTACAAGTGATTTTACATTTTGGCATAGCCTCCCTAGCGAGGTATTCGAAGCCGACTACTCGCGTACCAAACAACCTAGGTTTGCACGCCCCGGCCGCAACCCATTGATTGCCTTGGCGACGTCTAGGTGCGTGTCGCGCCGCGTCTCCTCGGCCTAGCCGGCCGGTCCGTTTCTGGGAAAAGCTCCCGCATGGCCTCTGCGTGCGACGGGTTCAGCTTGTCAACGAGATGCTGTCGTAAGCTTCAACGGCCGTCGACGAAGGTCTGGAATGCTCAGGGAGCATGCCGAGCCGCTTCATGACGAGAATCTCGCCGCGCATGGATGCCCGCACTCTAGACAGCGGCTGTGCCGTGATCCGTCGGCTCCGCGTTGGCAGCCTGGTCGAGGGCTGGTCTTGCACCTTCGCTGGCAGCAGCGGCGCTGCAGCTTTGCGCAGGATACGTTCGTTGAAGCGCTTTAGCTTTCCGGCGGCCGAGGTTCCGCGCTGCTCACTGGCGTCCGCCGCCACGGTCTCCGTGGTAGCTGCTTCATCGCCCATGGCTGTGGGCTGGGTGGCAGCTGGGCTTGCCGGTGGCCTTTGTGAAGCAGACTCGCTCACGGGCGCAGGTGATGAAATGGGCTGGACAGAGCTGTCCGTCACATCCCTGGCATCTTGGGCCTGGTCATCCCCGGCCTTGTTTTGCTTGGTAATCGCCTGGGCTTCCCCATCTGGGAGGTGCCCATTTTCTGGACTGGAGCAATCCTGCGTATGCTCTGGGCCGTTGGCTTCCTCTGGCAGTGGTTCTGGAGCCGTTGCGGGCGCCTGCGTCCCTGGCCCTGCTTCCAGCATCATGGGGTCTGCATCGAGAGCCCGCACGGCGTCGAAGGACAGGGACCCGAGGCAGACGATGAGGCTATCATCCTCGATCCTGCTGCCACCAGATTAGGGAATGGGCGGTCTTCAGGTGACGCCTGACGAGCCTGTTCCTTGATTTCCGAAGTGGCGTTTTGAATCTGGGGTGGGACCGGCGCTCCAGCCTCATGGCGAGCAGTCTTCAGTCGCCAAACCGCCATGGCGCTGCCCTTCTTTTGCTTTTGACGTCGTGGCTGACGTTTCTGGTGACGCTGCGGGCCCGCTGCGACTGCCCCGCTGTGATGGTGTCTGCACCCGCCACTGACGGCGCCGCCGCCGTTGCCGCTAGAACAGTGCTGAACCTGCTGTTGCCACTAAAGAAAAACAGTATCTGTTGTCTCACCTGCAGCTGTGATTGCTGAAATACAGAGAGAAAGCACGAGCTGCTGCTGAAGTTTGATCTGATGGAGTTGGTCCAGCCACAGAGAAGGAGCTGGAAGGCACGAGCATCGGGCGAGCGCCTGCCTGGGCATGGGCGAGAGCGCTAGAGGCGCTGCCGCTGGTCTGCTGATCCAACGCAGCTACAGGGACGCAGAGCAGCCTGCACCGGTGGCCATCGGCGCCCACACGGTAACGCACGAGCAGGAGCCCGACCCACGCAACGAGCAGACAGAGGGGAGCGAGCACAGAACGGGCGAGCACAAAATCCGAAGGAAAGTGGAACTCGATTCGCTCCCAAACTTTGCAGGAATCAAATTCAACAAGGAAAGATCTTATCCCCAAGAAATCAGCGTCTGAAATTGATTCAAACTCTGGGACAATCAGATCGAGGCAAGAACTCGAGTTTTTCCCAAAAAACGAAAAACGCCCTGGTCGAAGAGCTCACGTGGAAGTGGTTCGATTCACTTGGTAGATGGACTCCACACATGTCCTAGCTCATCTGAGATCAAAATAAACAAACCAAAACCACCTCAAATCGATGAACGAAAGATCACCAAAAAAATAGCTCCGAAAATATCAGAAAAAGATAAACTTCAGATTTGCAGGAAAACAAGTGGAGCACAAAATTGATCCTTGGATTAATTTAAGAGGTCTGATTACAAGCCAGTCCTAGCAAATGAAAGCTATAGATGGCAAAAGGCTCAAGAACCAGAGCCACCCCTCTCCTTTTAATCCTAGCCTCATCTCAACACCACACAAATGAGAGTGACCCTCTAAGGATGGCTATCCAACCAGCCCCTTCACATATATGTGGGCGTCCGTCAAAAGACAGAAATACCCTTACATAAAGCACACAACCCAAATATCCTCTAGGGGTAAAACCGTCCAAGTTTTTCTTCGTCGATCCAACGGACCCGGCACCTTCTCGACTTCATTTCGCCTCAACGCAAGCTTGGATATGCCGCCACGTGTCCGTGGATCCGTCACTCCCCAATTTTGAGGCCTAAACTGGCAAACCAGCCACCGATGGTTTTGAGGCCCAAACAACCAAACCGTTCACGCCTGATTTTAAAGCCCAAACCAGCAAACCCTCCACCGATGGTTTTGAGGCCCAAACTACCAAACCGTCCATCCCCGGTTTTGAGAACCAAACCGGCAAACCCTCGTGCACGCCTCGCCAGGCGTGACTAACTGATATCGACGCGTGTCCGACCTTCGTCAAGCTTGACGCATTCGCCTTCCTTCTTGACATGACCGACGCCATCTACATCTCCCATGTAGATGCGTGTCTGGCCTTCGCCAAGTGCCACGACGCCAACGTCCTCCTCCTTGACTTGGTCGACGCCATCTTCATCACCCATGTACTCTTGCACTTGTGGATGTCCCCAAGTGTCAGCCACCGCGGCTAGTCACCTGGCCTCCTAGTCCCTCGGTCCAAGCCTTACGTCTATCGTTCACCACTCCCAGTCCATCGGCACGGCACATCTCTACTTGACCTTCACCTCACCGTCGACCACCGCCTCCGAGCTCCACACCTGCGCACCATAAGCTAAGAGACATGTTGCACAACACACTTAACGCAACACAACTCAATGCAACACCTCTAGTCAGCCATTAGCGTAATCAAACACATATAAAATATGACTCAACCGGGAAAGCCTCAAACCTCTCACACATGTGTCAATCATTCATCACACACATGGGCACATCTCCACCATGTGTTCACAATCTCCCCTTGATGAATGCATTGACCAACACTAAAGCCCAACAAAGAAGGTTTGAAGGCAAAACAAAAAACTCTCATTCAAGTGCCCAAAGCCAAGTAAAAGCAAACATAAGGCCACTTGATATGAGAATGCCCAAAAGCCAAGTAAAAGCAAACACAAGGCCACTTGATATAAGGAAGGATCATGAACGCTACGAGGAAAAACTCTTAGTCCCCAAAGAATGGGCAAAAGCTCAACACAACCGAAGAGTCAAATAGGAGAGACATGAGACAAGAGGTTCATGCGATCCCGAAAGCAAAGCACTCAAAACCATTTCAACAATTGTCAAACAATCATCACAAATGAACCAAGGTTCTTATGAACTTGGTTCCACATTCTCCCCCATGATGATTTAATTGACAACATTAAAGCACAAGAAATGGTTTGGGACACAAAAGTCTTGTAGAAACCCAGAAGTACCAATTAGCCAAAATCTCATCCAAGTGATCAAAAGTCATATAAAGGCAAAGATCAAAGTCACTTGGCATAAGAAGACACACAAGGGTTCAAGACCCGCTTGGCAAAGAAAAGCTCTCGGAGCCACTAAAATAAAAGCTCTTGAAACCAATTTAGTAAAAATTCAATCTTGGATGATCTCGGTCCCCAAAGACAAGGGCAATGGCTCGACGCAACCAAGAAGAAACAGAAGTGCTAGTCCTCAAGAAGAGGCAAAGAGGCTCAACACCACTAGCACAAAACTCCGGTTCCTCAAGAAGAGGTAAAACTCAACACAACCGGATGCAAAAGATACATGCTCCCCCTCAAAAGATGCATGCTCCCGCTTGAAGTGTGAAACATTTTCCCCCCTTGTTCACACATGCACACATCAAGCTAAAACGAGCACATAGCAGGCACTGAAAACTGCAACTCCCCCTCAAAATATGCTATGAAATGCAAAGGGATGTAGAAAATGCAGAAGCTTCAGGAGTATAGCAATCAGAGTGAAAAGATGCTCTAACTGGTGTTGTTATGTGTCTGTAGCAACAAATACAAGTACTAGCAAATGCTCAAACTGAAAAGTGAAACGAAATATGATAATTAAGCACTTTTGAGTAGTTTTAAGCAATTAAAAAGGGTTCAGCACTGAAAATAGCACATAGCAGGTAGAAGCAGGAAATCAACCTTGTGGTAACAAGTGTATACAAGGTGAACTACCCCAAGCAACGGTCACACATCATGTCAAAGACAAACCTAAGACTTGTGTTTGTATCAAATTTTAATTTTATCGGAGTTTGTAACTTAACACAAGAATTAGTCAAAACATGTGTGTGCGAGAGGTTATCGGTACTGTCAGGCCTAACTTAGCAACCATGCCAAGCCTATGTCATGGACAATCAGAAGCTTAAGACAATAGTTTTGGCATCCACTACAAGGCTCAAGTTCATCCAAATGTGCAATTGGAAGCCGTCCCGATACCTTGACGTGGGACAGTACAGACCCATCTTGATCTTTTCTCATCACTTAACTTGGATTTCAAATTTTAGCACAAGAATCTCGAAGTTGTCCAAGCAAGTGAATGACTCAAAACAAGAGACATAGCAATCTAGCATATAAATGATAGCAACAGGGATCTCAACATATCCTACACATGCTAGTTGCCAATCTCAACGGTGAACAAATTTTCATGTTTCAAGAATTATTAATTATGTTCACAAGTTATAAAACAAACTTAGCTCATAGCATGCATCAAGTGATCAAAAAGAGCCTAAGCCATAAGCACCATCATGTACATATAGAACTGAAAGTGCAATCAAGCCTTAATTGTGGGTTTTGGTGATAATGACCACGCAATTAGAGATCTAATGAAATTTATCGAGATGACAAGCAGGGAATTTATATTCAAGGATGCTACACGAAATGGAGGAGCCTCCAATTATAAATGTAGATGGCTTCAAACTCAAAGGAGGTTTAAATTCTTTTATATATTAAATTTGATTATAGGAAAAGCCGTACTATAAAGGGGGCACAATGCTTAAGCTAATATGTGCTACCAAGTGCTCAAACAACCACAAGCATCCTCAGATTCACAGCCAAGACAGTCTTCACTTCTCTATTACCCTTGCTGTCTTGCGGGGTGCGAGCTACAACTCACCCGACCCCTTGGGTGCGGGCTCCGACTCGCCCGACCCTTTGGTCACGGGCCCGTCTCGCCCGACCCCAAGGTCGTGAGGTCCGATGCTCCCAACCCCTTGGGTGTGGGCTCCGACTCGCCCGACCCTTTGGTTGCGGGTCCGTCTCGCCCAACCCTAAGGTCATGGGGTCCGTCTCACCCGACCCTTTGGTCGCGGGTTCCGTCTCGCCCGACCCTCTGGTCGTGGGGTCCGGTTCACCCGACCTTTTGGTCACGGGGCCCGGCTCGCCCGACCCTTTGGTCGCGGCCTCATCACGCCTGACCTCTTGGGTGCAGTGTCCATTAGGGGCTGGGGGTATATATACATTTCCTTCTCCTTCCCAACGGCTATCTGCGTTTTATGTTACCGTTGGAGGCTGGGGGTATATATGCCTTTCCCTTTCCTTCCCAACGGTAAGGAACCAACCTGCTCTCCTCTTCCTCACTCCAGCATGCCCATAATAGAGCAGGAGCTCTCTCTCACTCCATTGTTGACCTAAAGCCCCAGAGAAAATTCATTGATTTCTCCATCAATCCTTGAGGGAAAAAGGGTCTAAAACTATATTAGAGAGCAACTTTATTGATTCCAAATTCTAAAGAGCACTTGGTTCACGTTTTAGACGGCTGTTGTGTTTGTTACTCTTGGAGCTTGGCTCCTAGCCGGCTAGAGCGTCACCCGTGGAGCTTGCCAACTTGTGTGGCAGTCCCGGGAGGTTTGTAACCACCTCTTGTAGCAAGTAAAATCACCCCTCATCTCAAGAGTTCACTCTCTTGACTTGAGAATGAGGTAGGGTTGCAAATCCCTAAGCCTTAGTGGCATACCTCAACAACGTAGACATAGGCAAGCCTTGATGGCGAGCTGAACCACGGGATAAATCCTTGTATCATCTTATGCTTGTGTTGC